TAAGATCATGAGATAGCTTATTACTGTGATTATAATTAGCAGTGTAATGTTCTGGATTTGTTTCCTTAAACAAAAGGGGGGGGAGGCTTACTTTAAACAGTTATGAGTAAATTAAACTCTAAAACTAGCTGTTTTTACTTTAGGAAGTAATTGAATCACCTGGAAGCTTCTTTTTAAGGATACAGTTCAGTAGTAATTATACTTAATATTGTACAACAGGTCTCTGGAACTGTAGTTCATCTTGTAAAATGAGATTCTGTGCAAAGATTTCTCAGTATCCATAGGAAATTGATTTTAGCACACACAAATTCTCATGCCGAAACCCATGGAGTCAATTATATATATAAAAGTCCTGGTATAAAATGGTGCAATATGGGGCCGGGGCTGTGGTTGAGCACTTGCCTCGCATGTGTGAGGCACTGGGTTTGATCCTTGGCACCACATACAATCAATAAATCAATCAATATATGAATAAACCGTGTCCATCTACAACTAAAAATATATATGTATTTTTAAATGGTGCAATATTTGCATATGACCTGTGCACAACCTCCCAGAGATACTTTAAAAGATTTCTAGATTACTTATACCTAATATAATGTAAATGCTACATGGAGTTATACTATGTTATGACAAAAAATAAAGGTTTGTGTGTTTAGTAGAGACAGTTTCCAATATTTTCCCACCTGCATTTGGTCTCAGTCCTCAGATACATAGGGCCAGCTGTATTCATTAAACATTAATTACCATGCCCCTCAGCCCTTGTCAACCAGCTTTCTACTTTCTACTGTCATGATTTTGACTACTCTAGATAATTCATATGGGTAGAATCATATAGTATTTGAATTTTGTGACTGGCTCATAGCATAATGTTCTCAATTCATTCATTTTATAGCATGTGGCAGAAATTCATCTTTTTAAAGCCTGCATGATCTATTGTATACATGTACCACATTTGGGTTACTTCTTCCTCTTGGCTATTGTGATTAATGCTGCTACGAACATGGAAGTACAACCATGACTATCTTCTAGGTCTTGCTTTCAATAGTTCTAGTTATGTACCAAGAGGTAGAATTACTAATTAATGATTTTGGGTATCTTTTCATATACTTGTTAGCCATTTGTATATCCTAGGAAAATTGTTGCATCCTTTGCTCCACCCCCCACCCTACCCCCCTTGAGTGCTGGGTATCAAACCCAGGGTCTTGCACATGTTAGGCAAGCACTACACTACTGAGCCACAGCTTCAGCCCCTTTGTTGATTTTATTTAAAAAAATTTTATAGCAAACAATCCACCTGGTTAGATCAGGCATCAAGATTTACCCAACATCTGTGGGTTATGTTATGGATTTCAATATCAGTTTAGTTATGAAAGCCTTTGTCATATTATCCATATTTGTTCCCTTAGTATATCATTCTGGGGCTGAGAAGGTAGTCTGCCCCATATTTCAGTTTTCATAGCTTCAGTGTGCTATGAAAGGTCAGATCCATGAAAAAAATCTAGGGGTGTTCATATAAAATTTTATGGGAGCCAGAGGAATAGCTAAGTGGTGGAACATTTGACTTAAATGTGGAAGGTCCTTGTTTGAGCCTGGGGGGGGGACTTTTTGGGGATCACTTTATTCAGCTCTTTTCAGTCTCCTAAAGTGGCTTTAGTGTCTCCACTCTGCAGTACATTGCCTGTGACTGTATTCTTCTGGGACCAAGTAGAGAAAGGAGGAGGAGGAAGGAGATAAGTAACAGGGATCTCAACGGTGTTCTTTGTTCTTGGGACCACAGTTGTTTTAAAAAAGATTCTCCTGGGCTGGGGTTGTAGCTCAGTGATAGAGCACTTGCCTAGCACATGAGAGATACTGGGTTCCATCCTCAGCACCACATACACATAAATGAATAAAGGTATTGTGTCCATCTATAACTGAAAATATATATTTTTAAAATTGTTCTCCCTTATAGTTGATAGTTGTAGGTATCTTCCTAGCCACCACAGCTACTATAGGACTTAATGGGTGCAAGGATAGGAAAAAATGGAGGGGGGAGCCAAACCAAAAAAGATGGGATTTCCCCATATTATCGGATCCAAAAGGGCTCCCTTGTTGCAGACCAGAACTAAAAGGCCTGTTTTGGAACTTTTTGTTTTCACCAAGTAAGTTCAGGGTTTCTGGATGCCTGAAACCAGTCCAACATATATCAAATGGGAAAGAAAGCAAAAAACAGGACTGCTGATTCAGTAGCATTTTGATTTTCTTCTTCAGTTCACCTGTTAACATTTTACTTCGAAATCTTGCGTTCTGTCCAGGGTTGTCTTGCTTTGTTTTGAGGTGTTAGGACTCTGCTTCCTGAGTAGCTGTGACCGAAAACACATGCTATTGCACCTGGATCTGTCCCAGGGTTTTTAGTTTAGTAAAAGACCATGTATTGTACTTCTATCTTGGCAAAACCTGAATGCACTTAGTGTAGCTTAGTGGTGGAGTACTTGTCAAATCATTTGTCATCTAATAATACTGTTCAGATAGGTTTTTTCATTCTTAAGAGAAAGAAAGTAATTGCTTTGAACACTGTAAGACAGTTGGATGGATAATCAAGAAGCAAGAAAGGTGAAAGAAAACTAAAGAGGTCAATACAATGCTGCTTTACTTGAACATAAGAAAGGTTAAAAAAAACAATTGAAGATTTCAGCACATTGTTTTATCACTTTGCTGTGGGGACAATAAGTGTGCTTTTGTAAATAAAGTTTTATTGGAACCTAGCCACACCATTCATTTATATAATGTCTTTGGCTATTTTCTCCCTATAAGGGCAGAGCTGAGTAGTTTAAACATAGACTGTCAATTTTGCCTTGCAAAATTTACTCTCTAGCTTTTTTACAGAAAGTTTGCTGACTCCTGTTTTAGAGGAAGAGCTTTCACTGTCCTGCTTTCTGTTCATAGAAATAATGGGAAAGACAAGTGTTTTCTGCAATTGGCAGAGGCATTTTCTTTCTTTTTTTTTAACATTTATTGTTTAGTTTTAGGTGGACACAATATCTTTATTTTACATTTATGTGGTGTTGAGGATCGAACCCAGTGCCTCATGCATACTAGGCAAGCACTCTACCACTGAGCCACGACTCCAGCCCAACATTTTCAAAATTATATATCTATGATTAGAATGTCAGTCATCAAACTAGTTATGGTGGAAGGTGTCTTGTTTTGTTCACAAACCCACTTCGATGAATCATTAGTCTATATATTATAAACTGTTTTTACAATGATGTTTGGTAATTCTTGGTATCGTAAATTTTAAACAGTGATTCAATAAATTATACTAATAGTTACAAAGCTGATTGAAGAGGCATGATAATATTGGAATGTGTGCATATAGGACCACAAAATACTGATTTGGTAATTGAAAATTATTACACAATTCTTGGGTGCTTATAAAACAAATAAATATGGATAAAATGCTTTCTGGTTTGAATTACTTTTTCTGTTTTTAAAGAGCACTTCTTCATATCATTGTTTCTTAGCTGGGGGTAATATGTTATCCATGAGACTTTTGGCAATATTCAGAGGCAATTTTTGTTATCAGAACTTGGGGAGTTGGGAGGCTGGGGTTGTGGCTCAGCTGCTAGAGTCCTTGCCTAGTATGCATTAGGCACTGATCCAGCCCTGGCACCACATTGAAAAAAAATAAATGTAGATATTGTGTTCATCTACAACATAGATAGATAGATAAAACTGGGGGAGATGAGGATGCAGGGCACCTGTAATTCCAACAACTTGAAAGATTGAGACAGGAGGATCACAAGTTCTGAGGCAGCCTCAGCAACTTTAGTGAGCAACTTAGTATCTCAAAGTCAATAATATAAAGGGCTGGAGGAGTGGCTCAGTGGTAAAGCATCCCTGGGTTAAATCCCCAGTACCAAATATAGGTCTGGGTTGGTTTGTTCTCCCCTCCCCTATTTCCCTCTTTCCCTCAGCCCTTGATTATTACTTTTTACATTAAAGCATATTTTTTGTAGAATTGGGATACTTGCTGTGGGTCTTTAACTTGTACATTGTGAGCTTTTGAATTACAAATAAGTTCAAATCTACTGCTAGACTTAAGCAGATTTTACTTTTTAAAATTCTGCCTCTGAGCTCCAACCCAGCCTTTTTGTTATTTTTATTTTGGGATAGGTCCTTGCTAAGTTGCCTCAAATTTTAGATCTTCCTGCCTCAACCTCCCTGATGGCTGGCGATTACATGCAAGTGCTTCTAGACTTGACCCGCTGCCAATTTGATGGCAAGAGATACTAGCTACACAGTATAGTATAAGAGTACCAGATTGCTCCATCATTCAGATTTTTAAATCTCTGCTTATGATGAAATATGTATATATGTCTTCCTGGGGATTGAACCCAGGAGTGTACTACCACTGAGCTGTGTATCCCCATCCCTTTTTATTTTTGAGGCAAAGGTCTCACTAAGTTGCCAAGGCTGGCTGAAATTTACCATCCTCTTGCCTCAACCTCCTAAGTAACTGGGGTTATAGGCACATGCCACCGTACCTGGCATGCTTGTTTTTAGTACTGACAATTTGAACCAGGACTTTATGCATTCCAGGCAAACACTCTACCACTGAGCCATACCCTAACCCAGATGATGCTCTTTTTAAAAATGTGAGTTTGAGGGGCTAGGGTTGTGGCTCAGTGGTATTACACTAGCCTAGCATGTATGGGGCACTGGGTTTGATTCTCAGCACTGCGTATGAATAAATAAAATAAAGATTCATCAACAGCTAATGAATTTTTTTAATATGAGTTTCACAAAATATCAGATTTTAACTTGAATTTCTTTAACCATAATGAGTTAGTGAATTCCTTGGTTTGTGAGCCTTTGAATTTCCTAAGTGGCTTATTCGCATTTTTGCTCATTTTTCTTTTAGTGATTTGTAGTCATAAAGAATAGGTCAAGTGGGAGAGCATTTATGAATAGGCAAGTACTGTTAACTAATCGTATTTTTTGTTGTTAAATAATAGATCTGAATGGGATATACTTTTGAAGGATGTGCAATGTTCAATCATAAGTGTGACAAAAACTGACAAGCAGGAAGCTTATGTACTCAGGTAAGTTCCTATAGAACAGGTGTTAACTAGCCATTTTTGGTTCTAATCATAAATTTATGTGAAATATCATTGTTCCCCTCAGTCTCAGTTGTATGATAATGTTCACCATGGTTGTAAGAATTTTGTGGTATAAAACAAAGTTAGTAATCCTGGTGTTTCTAAGCAGATTTTGAAACTTAATAGCTCTTCAAGCTGGTTGCCATCTTTGCGTTGTAGTTGTAGCAATTATAAGTATCTTGACTAGTTTATATTGTGATGGGCCTTGTATTAAACAAGGTATATAAAGTCTCTACTTATGTTTGGAGTATTCAGGTATTTATCAGAATACTTTTCTGTATCTGTCTAGTAAAAAGAAATATTGGGATGGTTGCAGAAATAGGATGTGGGAATAAGTAATGCAAGATATGTATTTAGTAAATAAGTTTAAATAATTTAGGCATATACTAGTGACAGTTTTTAGACTACTGTTTATAGTTAGCCATCTGGAGCCAGATGAGAGAATGAGCAAGCCAGGCACGGTGGTGCGGGCCTGTAATCCTAGTGGCTCAGGGCACGGAGACAGGAGGATCACAAATTCAAGGCCAGCCTCAGTAACTTATCCAGGCCCAAAGCAACTTAATGAGACCCTGTCTCAATCAAGCTGGCCACAGTGGCATATGCCTGTAATTCCAGTGGCATGGGAGGCTGAAGCAGTAGAACTATGAGTTCAAAGCTAGTCTCAGAAATGGTGAGGCGCTAAGCAACTCAATGAGACCCTGTCTCTAAGTAAAATACAAAAAGGGTGGGGGGGCTGGGGCTGGGGCTTAGTGGTAGAACACTCGCCTAGCGGGTGTGAGGCCCTGGTTTTGATCCTCAGCATCACATTAAAAAAAAAATAAAGGTATTGTGTACAACTACAACTAAAAAATAATATTTTTAAAAGGGAGAGTTGCTGAGCATGTGGCTTAGTGGTCAAATGCCAGAGCTCAATCCTCAGTACCAAAAAAAAAAAAAAAGAGGGCGGGGGAGAGACCCTCTCTCAAATTATAAAACCAAAAAAGGGATAGGGAATATAGCTCAGTAGTAGTGCCCAGATTAAATTGGGGGGAAGTGGAGAAGAAAGCAAGAATGGATCCTGTCCCAAATAGATGTAGAAAGATCTTTCATTCTTAGATGCTAGTGTTCCTAGGATACTTATGAATAGAAGAGGAAGGTGGCTATGTATAATGAGCTAATTCAGTGAAGATTCTAGAATCTTAAACTGTTTTTGTTGTTGTTGTTTTAATAACAAAGAAAGACTTCTGTAGTACATTATTTGCTTCCTTTGAATACTGACAGTTTAATGTACTAGCCAAAAATCAGAAATGATGATGTAGTAATAGGTTAATTATATCATCAGTAGTACATAAAAATCTCATAATAATCCTTTGACTTTTTTCAACTACAGTGAGAGTAGCATGTTTGTCTCCAAGAGACGTTTCATTTTGAAGACATGTGGTACCACCCTCTTGCTGAAAGCACTGGTTCCCCTGTTGAAGCTTGCTAGGGATTACAGTGGGTTTGACTCAATTCAAGTAAGTATTCAGAAACATTATTTAAGCCTTAAAATAGAGACTATACTAGTGTCACTTCATTAGCTAATTTGTTGCTTCAAAAAGTACATCATTGAAAATATTTTTTTTTAAGAGTGTGAATTTTGCTGACTTTTGATTTGCAAAATAGTTGAATTGTTTCAGAAGTTCTTAGTATCCATCTGTGTTCTCTCTTTTTTTCCCTCAAGAGCTTCTTTTATTCTCGTAAGAATTTCATGAAGCCTTCTCATCAAGGATACCCACACCGGAATTTCCAGGAAGAAATAGAATTTCTTAATGCAATTTTCCCAAGTAAGTTCAAATAGAATTTAAACATTTTTCCTATTGAACTTAGAGGGTGTAACCTTTCAGAGATCTTTTTTCTTTTAATATATGAGAGGATCTATATATAGTCCTGTATACATACTCTTCATTATTTCTTCAAAATTTAACATACTTGGATGTTTTATCTGTACAATAGTGGTTTGGGTTTTGGGGGGGGTTGGTTGGTTGGTTTTTGTTTTTGTTTGCTTGTTTGTTTTTTAATCTGAGATAGGATATCACTAAGTCATCAGAGTGGCCTTAAACTTGGATCCTCTTGCCTGACACACAGCTAATGGTGACCTTTATAATAGCTTATATTATTGAAAATATGCAGGGCTGGGAATGTGGCTCAAGTGGTAGCGCGCTCACCTGGAATGCGTTCGGCCCGGGTTCGATTCTCAGCACCACATACAAACAAAGGTGTTGTGCCCGCTGATGACTTATAAATATTAAAATTCTCTCTCTCTACCTCTCTCTTTAAAAAAAAAAAGAAAATATGCAGAATTTGCCAGACGTGGTTGTACATTCCTGAAATCCTGGTGACTGGGAAGGCTGAGGGAGGAGGATCACGAGTTCAAAGCCAGCTTCAGCAATTTAGGGGGGAGATCCTTTCTCGAAAAATAAGAAAAAAGAGCTGGGGATATGGCTCAGTGGTTGAATGCCCTGGGGTTAAATCCTTGCTACCAAAAATATATATGTACATGCAGAATTTATAGAGAGTAAAAATATCAGATATGAGTTAGTAGATAACTTATTTCAAATTTTGTGTTGTGTGCTCTTGTAAAAATAACTGCATCTCAAATCAGTGCTGTTGAAACAGCAGAATAAGGACACCATGGAAGCTTTGACACTGGCATGTGCCTGTAGTTTCAGTCACTAAGGAAACTGAGGCAAGAAGATTACTTTAGCCCAGGAGTTCAAGATCAGCCTGGGAAATATAAATACAGCAAGACTTTCTTATAATAAAAAAGAAAGAAAATCATGGAATTGAATGCCTGTTTTACTTATAGAGGTTAGGGAACTAAGGTTACCTAATTCCAGTACCCTGACTTGCTAAGTGAGACTGAAAACCTAGGATAATTTGATAACTTCACATAGTCCCCCAGAGGCATGATTATTAAAAAGAAAATAAGGGATCTGAGAGTATCTTCTTAGTAACCTATCACATCTAATAGGAAACACTACTAGGCTATATCAGAGAGTGGTAGGTATTTAGTGCAAATAGCTTGTAAGGGCTGATTATTGTTTGTATTTAGTTGGGAAAGTAGATAACTGGTGACCAAATTCCATTTTCTGTCGGAGTTTTAAGGGGAAGGTAAGCCATAGTTAACTATTTAAACCAACTCATTAGCCGAAGTGTACTTTGTTCAAAGACAGAAAAAATGTGTTTGGGGTATTTTCTTTCTTTTTTTAAGGACAGGATGTGATTGGGGTATGCAATCCTGTCTATCTTAGAATCTATCTACTTCAATTACTCTTTTTGATGAAATTTCTTATAGGTGGCAAATAATATAATCTCACTTGTTAAATAGGTGATAATAAGCTATCATGTTAAAATGGGTTTATTTACATTCTCTTCTCAACAGATGGAGCAGCATATTGTATGGGACGTATGAATTCTGACTGTTGGTATGTTTGATAAAATTTTGTGGATTTTTTTTTTTTTTTTTTGCTGTTGTCCATATAAGATTTATTTTAAACTACCACTTGCTGTTTTTAGGAACTATTTTTTACTTTCATACAGGTACTTGTATACTCTGGATTTCCCAGAGAGTCGGGTAATAAGTCAGCCAGATCAAACCCTGGAAATTTTGATGAGTGAGCTTGACCCAGCAGTTATGGACCAGTTCTACATGAAAGATGGTGTTACTGCAAAGGATGTCACTCGTGTAAGCATTTTTTAATAAAAATTGTTGCTAGATTTTTCTGCTCTAATGCTGCATTTTTTTATTTATCTCATTCTCTGTTTATTTTTCAATTTTATGTTTAATTTGGTCTTTGGTCTTTTCCAGGAGAGTGGAATTTGTGACCTGATACCAGGTTCTGTCATTGATGCCACACTGTTCAATCCTTGTGGGTATTCAATGAATGGAATGAAATCGGATGTAAGTAAATTACATCTTGCTATCTTGCTTCAATAAATATATTAAAATATTTTCCATTACTAATGCAAAGCTGTTTTCTCTAAGGGAACTTATTGGACTATTCACATCACTCCAGAACCAGAATTTTCTTATGTTAGCTTTGAAACAAACTTAAGTCAGACCTCTTATGATGACCTGATCAGGAAAGTTGTGGAAGTCTTCAAGCCAGGAAAATTTGTGACCACCTTGTTTGTTAATCAGGTAATTTGATTTCTTGTTGACAATAAATGTTTAAAAGGAAATGAAGATAATGAGGCCTGTTGTAAGATGTATTCTAAGATGGCACACATACTTAGTCACTCAGATATCCAGAGGTACTACTAGTAGATCAGAAGCTTGTATTTCATTAACTTCTGTGTGTCCTTGTTTTATATCCAGCCCAATTGATGGGTTCCTCCTATCATGTTTATTTTCCTTATTGACAGGCCTAGTGGGGGACCATAAAATGTTCCATGCCCCCAAGCCCATTAGAAGAAAGGTAAACTAAATAAAATGCCAGTATCATTAAGATAGAAGGATATTTATTGCATAACTATTTTGTTTGAAAATACCTACAGATTGGAGGCACTGATGATTATTTCAATTTTCCCCCAGAGTTCTAAATGTCGCACAGTGCTGTCATCACCCCAGAAGATTGAAGGTTTTAAACGTCTTGATTGCCAGAGTGCTATGTTCAATGATTACAATTTCGTTTTTACCAGTTTTGCCAAGAAGCAGCAACAACAGCAGAGTTGATTAAGGAAAATGAAGAAAAAACGCAAAAAGAGAACACACATAGAAGGTGGTGGCTGCTTTATAGATGATGATACTGGGGGCCATGCTTTCCATGACCACCACCTTGTAGTTGCAGAAAGCCCTAGATGTAATGATAATGATAGTGTAATCATTTTGAAGTGTATGCATTATTATATCAAGGAGTTAGATATCTTGCATGAATGCTCTCTTCTGTGTTTAGATATTCTATGCCACTCTTGCTGTGAAATTGAAGTGCATGTAGAAAAAAACTTTTACTGTATGAAACTTTACAACACTTGTGAAAACAATTCAATTTGGTTTATGCACAGTGTAATATTTCTGCAGGTATCGTCCAAAATTCCCCACAGACAAGGCTTTCGTCCTCATTAGGTGTTGGCCTCAGCCTAACCATCTGGGACTGTTCTATTATATTGCTGCCAGAATTTTACATCCAATTACCTCCACTTTCTAGAACATATTCTCTACTAATGTTATTGAATCCAGTTTCTACTTCATACAGATGTTTTTTGCAACAGCAATTAAATTTTTCTTTCACAAGTCCTTAAAATGATTCCAGTTACTCATTTTGTGTATTTACTATTTTAATAATTGTTTCTGCATTTGTAGTCTTTTGATTTTTTTTTTTTTCCCCTCAACCTGGTGTCTTCCCCTCCAGCCCCACAAATGAAGCAATAAACTTACACTGTGGGTTTATATACTAATCTTATATCCCAAGTGGGGAAAAGTCTCCGGGTTTAATTTTCTTTTAAGGGCATATTAATTTGGCCTCTTTTTTAATGGCATGGGCTCTTTTGGAAGGTAAGTGACAATATTAAATATTAATATTAAATATTTCTCACAAAAGAATTTTAAGCATCTCCAATATTGACTAGCAGTGAGGACATAGAGTTATAGATTTGGGTATGCTGACTAAACTGTACACCCCATGTTATGCTATGCTCTTTGATAAATGAGATTAGCTTCAAACAGTACCATGCCTTTCCTAACTTGCTAAGTAGTGATATAAAAGGATTTTTATCACTAAGTAGATAAGTAGGGAGATTTAGTATATAGGTTGTCCTGGATTCATTAAATCCTGTCAGCTTGGATCATCCACCTTAACTTTTACTTTTAGTAATCATTGCCACTAATTTCCTATAATAGTGTATTATAAACTGGTTCAAAGCAGATCAGTGGTTTTCCATCTTAAGACTTAAAAGTTATGTGATTGATAACTTGTTCTGACTTCATCTGTTCCCTTAATATCTTCCTCCTTCCATGGTATTCAAAGATAAAATGAATAACTGCCCAGAATGAAAATTGTACATGTTATTCAGATATTCCCATGTGTAGCAGAATGTATGGATGGATTTTTTAAAATTAAAATTCTAAAAATATTCAGTGAGAAATGACAAGTAATACTGGCTTTCAAGAGTTGTGATCTTTTATCTATATTTGCAAATACTGTGGTATTTAAGCAACTGAGAACAGCAAAATTGACTGTTTTGTATTTCTTGAATTCAATATTTTCTTGATAATTTCTGGATTGATGCAGTGATGCTTTGTTCCTTCCATAGTTTTAAACGAAAAGCATTTTTTCAGTGTTTCTCAACAAAATCTGCTTGGTTTGAAATCAGGTGGTTAGAACACTGTTTTGACTTATATCTCAAGCATTCGGTTTCATTGAGGAAGCTTTCAATCAACTCGATCTGTTTGATTCCTAATGAGCACAGCACGTAATGTTTTGACTTGCTCTGTTGTGAGAACCTATACTCAAGGGTGGATTTTGTTTTGGAGCAGTATCAGTGGATTGGTAATGTTTGTTGGCTTTGAGGTCTGATTTTTATTTTAAAAAATTTTTTTCTTTCCCCATTTAATAGTCTTAAGACTTCTAATGTTGAAAACTTGGCACAAATTTGTGTGGAACAAAGCCTATAAAAATGAAAACTGTAGATTGAATAGGATCTATCCTAGTGTGATAGAAGAGGGAAAATTTTGGTGCCGTATTTCTCTCTTCATTAGTGTTGACTTAAATCAGTTGAAATGTATTTCTGTATCACAATTTAAGCTTCAATAAAAGTTTGCTTACTTAATTGTCTAGTGATATTAAGAAAGTTTTCTGTTGATCTGTTTTATGTCTACTTGACCAAATACTATGGACCTTTTATAGGTTAGGCTTCTAAACCATGGGGTATAGGGGATATCATTTATTGTTAAACTAGAGAAGATTTATAAGCTTGATCATTTTTTCATGGAGGTATATTTTGTGTTTTGTTCTATGTTTATTTAGTGGTGGTACTGGGGATCAAACCCAGGGCCACGTACTCTAGGCAAGCACTCTACCACTGAGCTACACCCCCAACCCCTCTCATTTTCTTGAATTGACAAAATTTCATTTCTAGTTTCCTGTCTCTAATTAGCTGAAAATAGTTTTATGAAAATTTATATATTCTGATCTTTCTCAGAATAAACTTAATGGAAATTTTGCTAAGTATTTTCTAATTTAAGAATAAAAACAAACCAGGCTTGGTAGAGTACCTGTAGATCTATCTGGAAAGGTGAATCAGGAGGCTTGCTTGAGTTCAGGGCCAGCCTAGACAAAATAGCTTGAACTCTGTATCTTAGCAAAATACTACATTTGTGTGCAGTACCTGTTTAACCAGGTAAGTGAATTTTTATACTCAACAAGCAGCGTTGTTTTTTAAAAAGAGGTTCCTGTGTTTCTATCACAAGTACATACATGGAAATATTCTTACAGACAAATTAACTACCACCAATTTCTGGCTTCCCCACCACTACCAAACTTGTTGTTTTCATCCACCTTTTACTGTGAAAATGGAAGAGGGTTCTTCTCATTTGAATTTCATTTCTTCCTGCCTTCAAAGACTGTTTGAATTCTTCATATTTCTGTCTCTGATATTGAGTTGTGAATTCTGCAGATATTATGTTGGTCAGTGTAAAAACATTTCCATTAGTTTTACTTCCCCAATCCACCTACATCTTCCTTTACTTAAAACTTTCCCTTGTTTAATCATTACTAAGGTAATATGTGATAAATCTTTTATACCCCAAAATGGAGATGTAAAAACAAACTTTCCAAAATTCTGCTGATGTACAATATTGAGGCCGGGAATAGAGCCAAGGTGTGGTGGGCACAGATAATACCAATGACTTGAGAGGTTGAGGCAGGAGGGTCACAAATTCAGGATCAACTTTAGACACTTGTACCAAAAAATAAAAAAGGACTGGGGATATATAGCTGAGTGATAAAGTGCCCATGGGTTTGATCCTGTTTGGGGTTCGGTAGGACCTGAACTCAAACTAACATGTTTACGGGTTTCTTCTTGGAGGATACTGAAAAACCTATGAATATGATGAACTTCATGCAAAGTCAAAGTTAGAGGCCTTTGACTTTTAGATGACAACTAAACTATTACAGGCACTTGTCAATGGATTTCTAGTACCCTGTTATTTGTCCTCAGGGGTCGAAAATAGATTGAGATTTGTAACATCTTTTATGGTATGTGTGTGTGTGTGGTTTGGTTTTGGGTTTTTGTGGGTTTTGAGTGAGGTGTTTTTGGTTTTGGCAGTATGGGGGTATTCTACCACTAAGCTACATCCTTTGACCTTTTATTTTTTATAATTTGAGACATGGCATCACTAGGTTATCCAGGCTGGCTTTAAACATAAAAAGTAAACAGAACAGCAGTGATCCATTATATGCCAACATACTTTGTCGTCATCATCATCCATCAATTCACTACATGCTCTTTGTAGATAAAATTTGTTTCAATTGACATGAAAATGGTAACTTAAGATTTTGGTAAAAATATATCTTACCTCGCATCCTCTCAGGACAAGAAGATATCCAATAGTCCCTTCCTAGGCAATTAAACATTATTAATTTCTTCACCCCTCACTCAATTAACTACTTCCTACTTTTATATCAAAGATTCATCTTGCCTTTTCAAATTTTTCTTGGTACTTTGTATAATGCTTTATCTCAGCAAAAAATTGACGTTCAAACAACTCTTATCTGCTGAGTAATAAGTATTTCATTGTATGAATACACTCATGATTTGTTTCTTTTCCTTTTAGTGGATATTATTGCTTTCAAGCAAATATGAGTAAAGCTGCTATGAACATTAGCACAAATTTTTTTTTGTGGCTTCCATATGGGTAGTGGTATCAATGTGATTTTCACCTACATTCCTCTAATGATCATTTCTCTAATGTGTCTTTGAATTTTAAGTGTTACACATTTTAACAATACAGTTGGCTGTGTTTATTACTCAGTTGTAGGTGTTCTTTATTTTGGATATAAGTTGCTTTCAGTTATTCTGCAAATATTTTTCCACTGTGTCTTGACTTTGTTCCTTATAGTATCTTAATGAGAAGTTATTTTTAATAGTCCTAATTTATCAATTTTGTAAATGGACCTTTTCTTTTTAAATAAATTTGCCTACCCCCAGATGTGGTAAAGGTGTTTGTTTCCTCATGATGTTGTAGTTCAAGCTTTTATATCTAGGTCTATGATCAATCACAAATGAAATTTGTGTGTAGTAGTAAATAGTGTTCGATTTCTCCCAAGTTATTCTAGCATCATTTGTTGAAATGACATTTTCATTCTCACTGAACTACTTAGGCAACTTTGTAAAATTTCTGTTAACCATGTAAGTATAATGTTTCTGGAATATATTTTCATTCATCAATCCACTATATCTATGTGCCAATATCACTGATTTCTAAGTTTTTTATAACTCTTTGTCAGGTGGTCTATTTTTCTTCTTTGTCAAGATTCCTTTGTTATATTTCTGTGTAAATATTAAAATAAGTCTATCAATTTGTATTCTAAAAAGCCTGGTGTGATTATGGTCAGTATTAGTTGAATCTATAGGTCAGTATATGGAAAACTGTTAATACTGAATCCTTCTAATCCATGATGCTATATTTCTCAAATTATTTTTTTAAAATATCTTTATTTTTATGTGGTGCTGAGGCTCAAACCCAGTACCTCACGTGTGCAAGGTAAGCACTCTACCACCGAGCTGCAGCCCAAGCCCCTCTCAAGTTATTTTAAGTCATTTTTCTCAATACTTTCTGTTTTTTTCCCCAGCAACTTGAAGTTGAGGCCAGAGAATGGCAAGCTCAAGGCCTCATCAACTTAATGAGACCCTGTGTCAAAATAAAGGAGGAGGACTGGGTAGCTCAGCACCCCTGGCTTCCATCTCTAGTTCCCAAAAGAAAAAGACGGTCCTGATAAGTTGCTGAGGCTGGCTTTACAGGACCCCATCTTGGAATTTAAAAGGGGCAGGAGGTGTTGCTCAGTGATTGTGTCCCTGGTTTGCTCCCCTGTGCCAAAGGGAGAAGGACTGAAATAGACGCCCAAACACGGGGTACATAGAGGGTACTTCTGAGCCACAACCCCAGCGCCCCTGTCCCACTATCTGGTTTTAGTTAATAGTTTTAATTGCTGTTGTCTCAAGAACTCCTTTTTTGTAGCACATCTGCTTCTGGTGGCTTCAGCCTATAGCTTTAGCATTTTAATGGTAAAAGATGTTGATGAAAACCCTCAAAGCCTGCAAAATAAATTGAATAAAATCAACCCAATTCTGTGGCTTTCCTTAGATTATATATGTGCATATAGTTATGTATAAAATAGCATATAGCAACATTAAAAGTTAGGGTACTGGTTAGGTATTGTGTTCATACATACAACTAAGTACAACTACTTTTGAATATTCAGTTAAAAATAATGGGTATGGTGGACCACTCCTGTAATCCCTGCTACTCAAGGTGGAGGCAGGATCGCAGATTTTTGGGTTTTGTTACTGGGTATAGAACCCAGGGGAACTTAACCACTGAGCCATATATCCCCAAGCCCAGCTTTATATTTTCTTCAGGAGAGAATCTTACTGAGTTTCTTAGGGCCTCCATAAGTTGCTGAGACTGGCTTTATTTTATTTTTTTTAAGAGAATTTTAATACTTTTTAGTTTTCGGCAGACACAACATCTTTGTATGTGGTGCTGAGGATCGAACCTGGGCGGCATGCATGCCAGGCGAGTGCGCTACCGCTTGAGCCATATCCCCAGCCCGAGACTGGCTTTAAACTCTAAAGCCTCCAGAGGCAAGAGGATTGCAAGTAAAAGCCAGCCCGGTGACTTAGCAAGATCCTGTCTCAAATAAATGTGCTGGGGATATAGCTCAGTGGTAGAATATCTGTGTAATGTGTACAAGGCCCTGCATTCAGTCCCCAGTACAACAACAAAAGATCTAGGACTGAGGAGTATTGGCTAGTGGCATCTTACAGTTGAGTCCCTTTCTAGAATTTGTTCTCAGCAAAAGATTTCCATATAGTGTGAACTTAAATAGTTTCAAGTACTTGTAGTAATTTGTGTTTGTGCTTGTGGTAGTTTTATAATTTTTGATACTGGGGATCAAACCCAGGGGCACTTTACCACTGAGCTACATTTCCCATCCCTTTTTATTTTTGACTTGGGGGTTTTGCTAAGTTGCTTAGAGGCTTGCCTTGAATTTGGTAATTCTGCCTCAGCCTCCCAAGCCGGTGGGATTACAGGCAATAATTCTCTCAGGAGCTTTATGTTCTTTTAAAAAGCTACATAACTCACCTCCTTACCAACCTGTCTTCACTCAAAATCTCAGTAAGACTTATCCTGACCATCCTATTTTAAATTGCAATCCAGTCTCTAGGCATTCCTAATTCCTTTAATCTTTATTAGGTTTTCCTTTAGATAATAAATCCCTGCTCTTATAATACTTTTTTTCTATCTGTTTTGTTTCTTTATTTCCCACAAGAAGGTTAGCTTCCTAATTGGCAGTTAATGATTCCCACCTACTATGTTCACACCATTTTGTAGTCTTAACATGACTGATAAAATGTTACAGAAATTATGGAGCATGATTTCCAATATCATGAGATGCCTATTAGAAGTGAATACACTAAGCCAGGTGCAGTGACAAAACTCCTGTAATCCAAACAGTTTAGGTGGTGGAGGGAGGAAGATTGCAAGTTTGAGACCAGCCTCAGCAATTTAGCAGTGCTGTCTTTAAAAAGGGATGGGAATGTAATGTGAATAATTCTCAGAAGAAAACAACCTAGGCTATGAGACAAAAAAATACATTTTAGAAAGGGAAGACTAGCTGTGAAGCAGGAGGGTTGCAAGATGGAGACCAGCCTGGGCAATTTAGACCCCGTCTCAAAAAAAAAAATAGAAGGGGTTGGGGTATAGCTCAGTGGTAGAGTACCTCTGGGTTCAATCTACAGTACTGAAAATAAAGAATCTAGAGAAAGCAAGTAGAAATATGTTCTTAATTTTTTATAGTAGTAGGTGGAGACAATACCTTTGTTTTATATGATGCCAAGGAATGAACCCAGTGCCTCACCTGTGCTAGGCAAGCAGTCTACCACTGAACTACAACCCCAGCCCCCTAAAGAAAAAAACTACAGTTTGAAGTGAAGACAACTGAAAGGGATTAACAGCAGAGTAAACATTGCTGAAGAAAGGATGAGTGATCTTGAAGACACAGCAATAGAAACAAGACTAAAAAAAATGAATACAACTTCAAGTACTCTTACTTCCCCCCCCCCACACACACACAAGTTCTTGATAAGTTGCTGAGGTTGGCATCGAATTTGTGATTCTCCTGTCTCAGCTTCCCAAGTAGCTGGGGTTACAGGTGTGTGCCCCAGTACCCAGCGGAACAGCTTTTTACCATACGATTTATTTTTTTTCTTTTTCTCATCACAACATCATATATGTATTCTGTATAACAATGAGGTTCTCCTTCCATCTTCCATGCAACTCCCCTTCTCCCTCTTTTTCCCTCCCACCTCTCTTCCCTATTTAGTGGTAGTCTTCTTCTCATGCTCTTCCTCCCTATCCCATTTTGAGTCACCCCTCTTATATCAGAGAAGACATTCGGCATTTGTGTTTTAGGGATTGGCTAACTTAGCATAATCTGCTCTAATGCCATCCATTTGCCTGCAAATGCCATGATCTTGTTATTTTTTAGTGCTGAGTAATATTCTATTGTGTATAACTGCCACTTTTTTAAATCCATTCATCTATTGAAGGGCATCTAGGTTGGTTCCACATTCTAGCTATTGTGAATTGTGCTGCTATAAACATATAAACAGTGAAAATATCTTTCCAAAACCCAGGTGAAATATTTTTTCAGATATAACATCAATAATAATCAGGGAAGTGGTAAATGTAAACCACAATGAGATCATACCTGTAAGTGGGAATCAAATGTCCATCTACTGATAAATGGATAAACAAAATGTGGTACATAATCTCAAAATAATAGTGAGCAAAGAAAGTACAAAATATGTGGTTCCATTTATATAAAATTCTAGAAGATGCAAAATAGTCAATAGTGAACACAGATCAGTGATTGCCTCTGAAAGGGAGGAAGACAGGAGGTACAGAAGGGATGAAATAAAAAGGAAATTTTAGAAGCAATGGTATGTATGCTCATTATCTTGATTGTGATAATTGTACACATATAACAAAAATTTGTCAAGTAACACATGAGTATATGTGACTTACTATATGTCAGTTAAACCTCAATGAAGCCAGGCACTGTGGCACAGGTCTATAGTTTCAGTGGCTCAGGAGGCTGAGGCCGGAGGCATGAGCTCAAAGCCAGCCTCTGCAACTTAAAGCAACTCCGGGAGACTGTCTCTAAATACATAAAAGGGCTGGGGATGTGGTAGATAAGCACCCTTTGGTACAATCCCTGGTACTAAAAACAAAAAAAAAAAAAACACCTCAATGAACTTGCTTTTTAAATCCTCAACATTAAAATGTCGTCTGCAACAAAACTGAATTTTCTAATTAAATTGGCCCTCCTTGCCATACTTTGTTTGGGACAGTGTGGATCGGTTCAGACCTAAAACAGTAAAAGCTGTCACTACAGGGTTAGTTCTACTACAAAGCACAAAACCCCTGAAGCCTATAGGTGGAGGGTAACCATCATCTGAATCTGTTTCAACATACTATTGTGTGAAGTGAAACTGCCTGAGGCATTTTTTGAAACCTTACCTAGAGAATTTTGATAGCTGAGAGTTTCTCCCACATTAGCCAAAGACCAAAATACACCAAAGTTTTGGTTTTATTGGTTCCCTCCCTTCCACCGTGCACACATGCATGCACACTGCTTTTCTTTGTTAATTTTTAGCAAAAGTTACAACTTAGGGAAAGCACACCAATACATAAAATATTAAAAACTTGTGAGATTGTCTTTCTCCATAAAGTCTCTGTTCATTCCTAGGTTTCTGCTTACTATTTTAAAAACTTATTTAATATTTGTACATGTTCAGTAATTGGGTTCATTAACATGCAAATGGTACAAAAGGATATAGAGTGAAAAGTCACTCTCACCACTGTTTTCCACCTACACATAATCTATATATACAGTCAAGGGTGTGTTTCTGTCTGTCTTAG